TTGTCTATTTACAAATTTCTGATTTTATTTATCCATTTTGGAGAATTGTCTTAAACTTGGGTTTCACCTTATGTGGCCCTACGGTTGGTGTAAACTACTTACCGTAATAAGCTCATGGTATCTAATGATTACCTTAGGTGGGTTTAAGGTATAGAATACCACTAATCATCTTCCAACTTGGTTAAAATAATTTTTGGCGCACTAGCATACGAATCTATCGCTAATACATCCATAATGGGAAGAAATGAAGTCTGTGTAAAGAAAAAAAATTCAAGCTAACCTCTCAAGATGAATCTATTGGAGTCTACAAATTATTTGACAACAAGTTTTTTGATACATCTATCGGTATGGAGCCTAAGATTTCTATGCTTATATGGTTGAGATACACATGCAAAGAATCTCCCAGTGGATGAATAAAAATGACGACAGCAATCCAAGTTTTCATGTTCGCTGAAAATAATATTTTCACTAGCGATTCAGGCTTTTTAAATCAGTAGTTCAGTCCTGAATTGTATGCCTTCTTATCGGCCATTCCTGTCCGCTTGAATTTTTCTGGATTTTAATGATTAGGAAAATCACAAAAAGTCGGCAGAGAATTTTGAGGACAAACTGTTATTTCCCTGTAATTCCTCCGTTATAGTCCATATTGTGGTATGACACATATATCTTCAAAAAACCCTTATGTTCTATCTGGTCCAGTAGGTGCTTTTATAAAAAGGGATAGGACGCTTTGCATTTTGATTTAGCAGGCAGATAGAAGGAGGCTGTCAGGAGATAAGTCTTTCAAGATCAAAGTCTTCCTTCGCTCTGCCTCCTTTCTATGGACTCAGGTTCTAAACCATATGCTCAAATAATCTGTCGACATGACTGTCACTTATTCTAGATTGTCAATTCTGATTGTCAAAGTAAAGTATCATTTTGACCTAGAATCTGTGCTGTGTTTCTTGATCCTATGTGAATTACTACGATCATAATATATTTTGTACAGCAATGTCTTTGAGCAAAAGGACAGCCCTAAAATCGGAAAATCAAGAGCAATACTGTGACCTTGACAATCATCATGACTTTCTGCATTTTATGCACTGTGCGCAAAAGAGGTAACATGTAGTTAGCGCATCGCAACTTCATGAACTTTTTCGGAAATTTGAATATTGACATCTCAAAACGTGTCATTGAACTTCAGTCTTTCTTTTGCAGAATCATGATACTGTGGAGCGTGAACGTTTGATGCAGATGATGAATGTACCAGATCGCATAGTTCTCACTGGTGGTGATGGATACAAAGGTTATGAAGCTCAACCATTAGAGTTGATGAATGATCACATAAATCAAGTGGGAGAAGTGGGTTTGCAGCTTTTTCGCAAATCATCCTTAGATACTATTATCTGGCGTTATAGAATGATCTGAAAGATCTTCCCAACAAAATAACACTCAAGGAAAGCCCATATCTGGACAGAGGTGATCCTGCTGCTGCTGTACGTTTTCCCTAAGTTTTTTTTTTGCAACCTCATCTCATTAGTTTCTATGAGAATCTAGGATGAACCAGTCCGGAGCGAGAATTCTATAGCAATAGAGGAGAATCCCTTGCAAGAGCTGAAATTGATGCGTCGTCAGATCGGTAAAATCTTCATGCGATTCATCTGTTCTAACTTCTTATACCAAGTCTAAAGACCTTGCGATTGGTGTAGACGATGTTTCTTATGCGTAGCATGAAGAAAAATAGTTCAAGTAGAATCGAGCCGCCAAACTAGCAGATTTTCATTTCTCAGTTCTTCTTATTGTCATATTTTTCTCAAGTACACGTCAGTGCAGCTGTCTCTTCGATCAAAAACCTCATCACCAAACGTCATTGTTGTGACGGTTTGCTT